CATGCAGGCTTTTCCTCCAGCAACTGCACCAGGAACTCAAGAAGGATCGGGGAGAATTCTGAGAACACCCTACTGTGGAGCTGCCTAGAGAAGAAGAATACATACAAAAAAATAGAACTCTGAGTAATATATGGGTATTTGTTCACGAAAACTCTTTCTCTGAAAGCTTGTGAAGGTCTTGAAATGCCCCCGATTAGCTGAGGACAAACATTTAAACCCTACTTCCACAGGGAGTTCAAGCAGGTTGGATGTGTCCTTCTATGGGTGATCGTCCCCACCCCCTTCCTCTTCCCAGTTAATCTCTGGCTCTCTGTGTAAACAGTTCTCATCAGCGGAATGTGCTTGATGAAGTGTTCAATTTTCTCATCTTCTATGTGGTCATGAATTTTCCTCATCTGAGGTTTAAAAACTCACCTGCATTCAGCACATGACAGCCTAAAATCTCTTGTGGGCAAAACAGCAACAAAGGCATCCACCAGGGTTGAACATCCCGTGTTGCTGACAGCGACCACCGGGGGTCAGCATCGTCTTCACAATCCTGTGTCAGAGCATCTCCTGAGTGATTTCAACAGCAACTCCCCAGGAGAATCAGCTGAAAACTACTTGTCCCATTTTCCATACAGATATAACCCCTTTATTTTCCTGAAGAAATAGAAAGAGCTGAATGCTGAATACACTGAATGTCTACCGGTTTTGCAAGCTTGTGAATATACCACTTTCTAATTTCTGACCTGTGTGGACCACTCTACAGACTTTTCTCATTGGTGTGGCCAGCATTCTGGATGTCAAATATAACTGAACTTCTTCATATAAAAGTCAACACAAACTCCTCATGGTTTCAGTGCTCACTGAATGGAATTGGAAATAAAACCCACAATTATCCATAACACAAATTCCTTGGAAGTTATTTTGGAATCATGAGTTCATAACCTGTAGACCAAGAGTCCAAGACTGTTTCTATTGAAGAGCCTGGGGGATCAAGACACCAGGCAGTTGATGCAGACACTGTCTAAAGAGTGCCCAGTGGGTCTCAGAGGGACCTGCTGGATACTCACATGGGACATCAGCAATCACTTTCTCAGAGTCACCAGTGAGCTGTGCTTGTTCCTGAAGGGTCCAGGATAGGGCCAAGGCAACTGCTCTGTGTCATGGAGAGTGATTATTCCAGAAATCATAGAGGTGGTCTCTATGCTTGTAAAATCTATATTTGCAGTGAGGAACCTGTCCTGAGAGGGCTAATTATTCAGTGAAAGGACCTCTGTCCACAAATGTTCATACGTGGAGCAGGGCATTCATTTCCTCAAGCAGGATTAGGGCTTGAACCATCAGCATCTCACTCTTGTAAGGTTGATATGTCATTTATCTTCCCTTTCTTATCGTCAGCCAGGCTTTGAGCTATGAAATGCTCTGTCTCATCAATATGAAAATAATCTGAGATCCCCTGAGGTAAATATGGATGTCTGTGCCCTGAGAGCATCACCCAACAACCACATCCCTCCTCTAGAGAATCCCCTGAGAGCTCAGCTCCTCACCATGGACTGGACCTGGAGGATCCTCTTCTTGGTGGCAGCAGCCACAGGTAAGGGGGGCTCCCAAGTCCCAGCGTTGAGAAGGGGATTGAGTCCAGTCAAGGGGACTTTATCCACTCCTGTGTCCCCTCCACAGGTGCCCACTCTGAGATGCAGCTGGTGCAGTCTGAGGCTGAGGTGAAGAAGCCTGGGGCCTCAGTGAAGGTTTCCTGCAAGGCTTCCGGATACACCTTCACCTACCGCTACTTGCACTGGGTGCGACAGACCCCTGGACAAGGGCTTGAGTGGATGGGATGGATCACACCTTACAATGGTAACACCAACTATGCACAGAAGTTCCAGGGCAGAGTCACCATTACCAGGGACAGGTCTATGAGCACAGCCTACATGGAGCTGAGCAGCCTGAGATCTGAGGACACGGCCGTGTATTACTGTGCAAGATACACAGTGTGAAAACCCACATCCTGAGACTGTCAGAAACCCCAAGGAGGAGGCAGCTGCACTGAATGAG